GCTTACCACCCGCAAACCAATGGTCTTGCGGAACTTTCGAATCGTGAGATAAAAAATATTTTAGAAAATGTGGTTAAGCCAAATCGTAAAGATTGGTCGCTTAAATTGGATGATGCACTTTGGGCTTACCGTACCTCTTTCAAGACTCCATTAGGCATGTCTCCGTACCAACTTGTTTTTGGAAAATCTTGTCACCTTCCGTTAGAGTTAGAATATAAGGCATTTTGGGCTATTAAGGAGCTTAATCTAGATGCAACTCTAGCGGGAGAGAAAAGAAGGCTCCAACTCAATGAGTTGGAAGTGTGGAGGTACCGAGCCTACGAAAATGCCAAAATTTACAAAGAAAAAACAAAAATGTGGCATGATCGTAGGATCAATCAAAGAATTTTTGTGAAAGGTCAAAAAGTGCTCCTTTTTAATTCTAGGTTGAAGCTTTTCTCTGGAAAACTCAAATCTAGATGGTCGGGACCTTTTACTATTGTTGAAGTGGAAAAATTTGGAACTATCGATCTTTTGAACCTACAAGACAATACGGTTTTTAAAGTGAATGGGCATCGGGTCAAGCATTTCTTCCCAGAAGGAATGCAAGATCCACGCCAAAAATCTCTTTGAAGGATTGTTGAACTTTCTGTTATAAATAGTGTAAATATTTTTTATTATGCTTCTTGTTTATTTCCAGCAGGTATGYTCACARTGGGCTCCTCGTGCTCACATTCTGARGAGGGTTTTGGTTAAGTATTTTTGAATATTGGCGGGTTTTTGTGGAATTTTCCAGGGAAAAGAAAAAGGAAAATAAGAAAAGAAATGAGGTTATTTTTGAAAAATGGTAATTATGGTTTTTCTGAAAATGGTGACTCGTGTAAGGATTTGACTAGTACCATGACATCATTTTTTCAAATCACTTGTACTTTCAAGGACATTGTATGCAGATGTGGGTGGTTTCCTATGCTACTCCCCATCGGTTATCTATGAAAAAAGGGGGGAAAAACTTCACTTTTATCTTTACTATTCATCTTCTTCTCCTTTTTCATGGCTAGGACTCGAAACAACCCCACCGGCCGGCCACCTTTCCGACCGCCTGCTCGCCGCTCTTCTCGTCGGACGCTAACCGACGACACGAAATCAACCACTCCCGCTCCATCGATGCATTACCCAATGCCTCTCTCGCCGGATCCTATTGCTTTCGCTCCACCAGTACGGGAACCATACACCATCATCGCCGGTCAAACCTCCAACGTACGAGTTGATTACGACGAGTATCACATCGTCGTTACTCCGGTATGTATCACTCCAACTCCTCCCCTATTTTCCACTATTTTCACCCCTTCCACCATTATACACACCAACACAACCATCGGCGCCGGTTCGTCTTCTGCACGACCGCCGGCACGACCCCTTTTCCTAGCCCTAACCATACCACCCTCTATCACCCCTCTATCTAACCCCCTCCCACCACCGATTAACCAACCACCCACTCAACCACCCCCTATTTCCCTTCCTTCCACACCACTCGGCCCACCCACCATCCACGATTTCGACCTAAATACCTTAGGGGAGGAGTTTCTTTTCGATTTTGAAGCCAATACCTCTAATAATCCTGCAGATTTATTTCCTTTTTCCGTTCCCGAGTCCATTGACGACTTACCACCACAACCCCCTGCGACGCAAACCGTGACTACACTTCCTATTGAGGAACTCCCAGTCACTGCCCCCAGTGGGCAGACTGTGAGCACAGACGCATCCTCGGAAAGTATTGTGAGTTCCAGTTCTGAGTCTGCCCTTCCTCAACCATTACCCAAGCCCATATCTGAAGATAGCGATTATGAAGACGAGATGGCACAGGACCTAGCCAATGATGATGATGTGGCCAAGGAAGAAGGGGAGCAGGAGGATTTTGAAGAGGATATTCCAGATGAAGACATTTTGAAGGTCAGCAAGCCCAAACCTTCGAAAAAAAGGAAGGCAGCAGTGAGGCTGAGGCGACAGCCCGCACCAAAGACAAAGAAAGAAAAGGTGGTGCCATTTCAGGAAAGGTACAATCGTATCAAAAACAATAAAATTCTTTTAGAGCGTGCCTTTGACCCCCGGTTGGTCAATTCTTTTATGGCAATACGGCACCATTTGGTAGCTCTGGGATGAGACAGGTTGGTGGTTGCCCCTGTGATGGCCAATGTTTCTTTGGTTACTGAATTTTACGAGGCTGTCGGCACCACCTCAAGCATTTCGGTACAAATTCGGGGTAAGAAAGTAGACTGGTCGGGGCCGAAGCTAAATGCGGCCCTTGGACTCACCCCACCGCCGGAGTGCTCCTTTGCCCAAATTATGAATGGGACACGTGAAGTTGCCGATGATGAGATCGCTTCCATCCTTACTCTCCCCGATCGCGGCTGGTCGCGGGACAATCGGCGACAAATCATTTTCGCCGGCCATCTTAACACGGAAGCAGGCCTTTGGTTTCAATTTCTCCGACACAATTTAATCCCAACAGTGCACAATAGTACTATCTCAAGGGACAGGTGCATCCTTCTTTACTGCATAATGAGCGAATTGCCCATCGACCTTGGGCCGATCATACAAGCCTCTATCTTGACCGCCGCGCAAAGGACAAATTCCCGCCTGGTCTTTCCGGCCCTAATCACCAAACTTTTGGCCAAGGCTAGGGTCCCGACTGTTGATGAGGATTCTATTGTTGTCGGCTCTCCTTTGTTGGGACAGAACACCATTGACCGCCGGCAGAGGGCATCTCGGCCCTATGTACATTTCGAGCCTTCTATCCCGGTTGAGAGAGATATGGAAGAGCCCGTGGCGCCATCCACCGTTCAACCAAATGCGCCACCGGTTGTCCTTCCCGAGCCACAGGTTGCTGCCATTCCCGAGCCACAGGTTGCTGCCGTTTCTGAGTCGCTGAGTGTTGCCGTTAGCGTGCCACCTGCCGTGCATATATCTGAGCCAGCTGCTGTCCCCATGGCCGAACCAACTGCCGAGATCCCAAGATGCGGAGATGATATGGCCAGCCCCTCCGAGCCACCGCAAAGCAACCCTTTAGGCTCGGGGTATACGTCGGCCACTTGGTTGTCCGTTTTGGCGCTTCAATGGGAGGAAACGAATCAGAAATTGGAAGCGATATTGTCAAAGGTTGGAGGTATTGAGGACCGAGTCTCCGAGTTGGAAAAGAAGAGTGCTCGTTATTGGGCATAGAGTAGAGACTGGAACCGGGTGGAAAGACAACTTTATGGACGTTAGGATACTCTCTTGACTGCCCAACTTCCACGGTTCCCCAACGGTCTTTGCCCACCTCAAGTCCGGTGCTTCCCACCATTGCAAGCCCACTTGCCGACGTCCGTTGTTGCTGCGCCCTTTGCTCCGGCTCCCCACATTCCTGTTGTTGCTACGTTGCCTACCACGACTGCGATCGTTCCTGCGGTTGCTGTTTCCGTTACTGCTCCTATTATCAACAGCTCCGAGGCGGCAGATGCAGCCACTGTTTACCCACAGTGAGCAGTTTGACAGATATGGTTAAATTCTGAACTTTTGATCCAACCTCTTTGAACATTATTTTTTTGGATATATCTTTTGGGTATAGATACACTTTCATTCCGTCTTTTGTGTATGCTTTGCGGAATGTCATTTTCTTTTGTGTGGATATTTATGACATGGGTGTTGGATTTCCTTTTGCTTTGTCTAGTTCCATTGTTCATTTCAGGTACAATTTGCTTGGATGATTTTTGGTAGTGTTAAAGTTAAAAGGATGTAGGCCCTCCTTTTGTTTTTAAACCCAAACACTTTTCCCCTTGCACCCAACCCGTACCCTTTTGGTCCCTTTGGCAACAATG